TGGAAACAGAGAGAAGCCTGGCAAGCAGACGACGCACTGTCAGGGAGCGTGCAAAGCCGATGAAAAACAGGTTGCATAGCCAGACCAGGGGCTATTCTAATACATGGTTCATGGATTTTTTTTTTCCCCCCGGCTTATATTCATGCCAATACAGTAGCTCTTGAGGTTTTAAGCACCTGACTGTTTCCAAGACTGTGCACAGATGCTCTGGTTTGAGTGGGTGAGTGATGGTCATGCGAGGCAGAGAGAGAGAGACTGATGAGATGCATTTGAAAAGAGAAGCTCAGTACACAGACAGAATCAAGAAGTGGCAGAAGAAAGGAGAAACAGAAGATGCAGGGGTGGAGGTGAAGAAGAGTGGGGAGAAAAGGAAAGAGATAGGATGTGAAAAGAGAAAGGAACTGAAAATGGTGCCGAGGTATATGCTATATTCTCCTGTAGGAAAGAAGATAACAAAACGAAGAAAGTGAAGCAGGAACAACAGAAAAGATCCAGCAAAGAGGGCTACATAAATAACATTTACTTAAAATATTAGTTTAATTAACTAGTCTTAGTCAAATCATTCAGTCCACAGCTATGTTTGTGGTATCTGATAACTTACCAAATCATTACAAAAACTAACAGTACGGTTGAATAAATACTTGCTACCTTTGTCTTGTTACTTGATCACTCCAACTAGAAACCCTATTTAAAAACAAATAAACCTTGTATTTAAACCAAATTCCATTAGTTTATTACTTCTCACGTGGTCCTTACTGATTGAGTTTAGTACTTATTGATTTTGTTCCCCACAAAATAAAAGAATATATGGGAACAAAGTAACACAGGGACACTTGGTTTAAATTTACAACTTAAGTTTTTGTTTATCAGGAATGTGTTTCAATTACTATAAAGTACTAGAAATAAAAGCAGAATATCATTAAGGGAGTTGTATGGTACAACACCACTGGTGCAAACTTGCAACTGCACCAACTCTTAAGCCTGCTCTGAAGCCAGCTCAGCCAGGAAATCACTCTTCATCGCCCTCACTGGTCTCTCTGCAGAGGAGTTCACGCAAGTTTTTCCGTATCTATGCAAGGCATAACATCACTCCAGCTAAAGTTTAAAGTGTTGCACCTAGTGCAATTTGGCTAATTTTGCTTAAAACTCCAGGAGCACGCCTGCACAAGTGCTCTTTCAACTGACCAGTATGATAAGAGGGTAGTTGTTGGCGTGGGTTACGGATCCGTTGTAACAATGTGACCCCAATATGAGTATGATCGTTCACCTTTATTAGTCAGCAAAAACAAGGTTTATATAGCAAAACTATTACAGCATCTGAATGGTTAAACCCCAATCCATATATAGGCAAAACTACTGCAAATCGTTGTGATTGGTGCAGAGCTGCATCTCGAAGTGAAAACAGTGCTGTGGCAGGAAACAACAACGTGGCAGGAAGGAAGTGACAGTGTGGCAGGAAACGGTGACGTTCCCCTTGCTCCAGTGTCTCGAGCTCGTCGCTCTGCCTTCCCAGCAGGGTTCCGTGTCAGCCGCTCCCAAGGCTCACCTCCGGATCGGAACCTGGGTTGCTCAACGCACCAAGCTATGTCCCCTCTCGTCCAGCCAGGACTCCACAGGTAGCAATGCGAAACAGAATGTAAAAGCATCTTCCACCACCATAGACGGGCCCAGAAGTCTTCTGCCCAACAATTAAATGATTTATCAATGGACTGTGTTCAGATAATTACTAGCTTCTGTAAAACCTCTGCACCCTACGTCTCTCCCTCACCAGCTGCTTGTTAGCACCCTCAAGCAGAACAGGCGCTGTAGCCTGTGCAAATGAACCTTGTAAGTCAGTAAGTCATGCATCACAAAAAACCGTTCAAACCAATTTTTTGGACTTTGCGCTGAATCACAAGGCACGTGCTCAGACAAATCACTCTGTTGCTATGCTAGGGGATGCCAAAGTCTGGCGGAGGGTTAGTAACAAACAGCACTGGGCACAAGTGGTGGGAGGGGGAACAGCCGCTTTTGGAGCGATCCTCTAGTCATGATCCAGGTCCTCGTTGTTACTCCGTCAGGTTTCAGTTAAACAGCATGTACAGTTGCTATCTTCCCTTCAAGCATAGCAAGCAACGACTTTTATGAGAATGACATCAAAGGCATCCTTCTCGCTAGCAGTTTCAACTTTCGAGCCCTTAGATGAGCTTTGTAGTTGTATTAGACAAAGTGTGCACCAGGCAAAGCAATAGAAGATTAGGATTTAACTAATAACCAATTTTTTCTGCCTTCTCTCTTGCATTACGAAATTGAGCGGAGCTGAGAATGCCTACAGACTGGCTCTTCGCCTCTACCAGCAAAGAGGCTGTTTGCAACTTTGAGTTTACCACAGCAACCAGAAAACGCAAATGCCAGACAAAAGTCAGCAGATTTCTCGGGTAACTGATGTACACACATTTATCATTTCTGAAGGACAAACAATGTCTGTGGAGCCGCTCTCGCACGCTAAGCCAAACTCCTATTCCGAATCCATTTCGTTCCCAGGCCTCCTTAAGAGCTGCACAGCTGATCCCCACGGAAGAAGTCCAACTTCAGAACATGTTGTTACGCCTCAGTTTCAATACCTTCCCACTCTTTTTCTGCTCCCATGCATGCCAAAGCATGGAGAGAGGATCAATGCAATGTATTTTTAGTAGCACAGGCTGAAAAACGGTGCCAGCTTCTACTTTTATTGAAGGATTAATTCTGTGAAGGGCCAAAGTAGCCAGGAGCAATTCACAAGGGAAAACCTCAGCCATGTATTGTGATCATGCACAAAAAGACACTTCAAGGACCCAGGTGGGATTCAAGCCAAACCTCACCACTTCTAGAGGACAACAGTCAACATCTCACTGTGCCTTTATTTCTTCCTCTTTTGCTTTTCTTAGTTGCTCCTCCCTTTTCTCCCTCCCTCTCCAAGGATCACAAACACATATACCACTGCAAGCTGGCCTCTGACAGAACACTGGACTTAGTACTGATGGGACTTCCAGTATTTCCCTGTTGGGTTTTTTTTAAAAGTACATTGGTTGGTTTCAACAGTACATTGTTTTTCTTCTTCCTCTATGCTCTACGGTACTTCACGCAAACAAATTAGTTATGAAAAGTTACTCCTGTCCATGGTCTCCCTATGGACACCAGTGTATCAGAGGAGAACGGACATGGACACATGTCTGGTGCTTGCTCACTATGCCATTGGCAGTAATAAAGATGAAAAACGCCCTCATTCTCATGTTGGGTTTGCCAGGGGAATCAATTTCACTTCTCTGAAGGACCAGAAACCAGCAGAACATGGCAGTACATGGTTCCCTGCCCCAAGTTGTCCCTGCCTACAAAGTGTGCCTGTGACTCTTCTTCTAGGTGAAACTGGAAAGAAGCACAACCTGGGTTTTCTAAAGAAGCTACAAGCAGGATGGAAAATGGAATCTTTTAAGTGAAGGCACTACTTACACATCATAAAAAATACAAAAGGCAAAAACTTTTTCCTTGCAATTGTTTTGCAGTTTATCTTTAAGGGCATGTGTTTTCACTCCTCTCAGCCCTGGAATAGCTTGAGAAACAATAAAGGACTTGCACTAAATCCTTAAATAATTCCTTGTTTAATATTAAAACATTATCAATAATTGTGACTTCAAACCACCATTATTATTGTCTGTATGTCCAAATCCAAAAGATTTCAACCTATTTAAACATGCATTCCTTTCAGCTATGTTTTCCACATGTGCCTGAGAGACTACCAAAGATACGACTACTCAGGGTTCTGCTGAATGACCAAGGCAAGCTTTTACAGAAGGCATAATTTTATGCATCGGGGAAAAAAACCCCTTCAAAACAGGTATCAAAATACATTTTTCAGAGAGAAAATGAAACCCTGTAAAAGAGTAATTATTGTAGAAATTATGTACAGTGAGCCTAAACTACAGAAATAACATCAGTAGAAACACTAACTGACAGAATACAGTTTCTCAAACAAATTAGGCAGTGATACTATTTTTAAAAAGATACTTTTAAATTTCTTGAATAACTATCAAGGTAGGAAATGCTCCCTTGGATACAGTTTATTTGTACTGAGGGCTACAGAAAGCTAAACTCTAGTCATGCCTTTATGCCCATCCCTAAATTTAACACCTAAACTCATTACAGAAACTTTACAGCCCCACGCTGTAGGTGTGAAGGAGGGTGGCTTGCATAATGACAAGGTGAAGTCACAGAAAGTTCCTCAGAACCCACGTAAAAATTTGCCTAATTCATACGAGAGTTAGAAACAGTATTGGGAATGGAATATGCTAGCTGGGAAGCAGTTGTGATCAGCGCTCAAAAATATTACTGGTGAAGAGCTCTAGAATAGTAGTCATAATGCGCCAAGATCCAACACTCACATGAAAGCTAGAAAAAATAAGAAATCAACTGTGGTTGTATTTAATTTCAAAGGAAGGCGAATTATGTGTAATTATGATGCTTTTAAAAAGTGCAAAATTCCTTGAAGGCAGCATGCAAACAATTCAAAGACACTATCCCAGAGGCTCAGACCATATGCACAGCATTTACTAAGGACTTCAGAAAGACCAAAAAGAATCCAAACTGACTAAACAACATAAACAGCAGCCACAAGGATGCTAGTAGGAGCAAGACAGCATCCTTCAAAAAGCTAAAGCATCCAAATAAAGAAAAGAGGAAAGATTTTATACACTGGAAGGTTAGATACAAAAGCCCAAGAATTCAAGCTAAAAAAAGTGAAGAACAACGGGAAATAGCGTAAATCTGAAAACTAATAAAGCCCTTTTTAGAGAAATTAAGAGCAGGTAGCCTGCTAGGCTCTCACTAAGGCTAACAGATGTTCCAGACATGCAAGATGCATCTGAGGATAACGACAGAGCAGAAAAACAATGTCAATTTTTGTATCCATGCTTATTGTGAAGGAACTTCTGAAGACCTAATACCAGAACTCCTCCTTACAAACAGCCTGTCTCATATCAAAATACCAGTGGATGAGCCGACAGACAGACATGAACAATGACAAACCACTCAGATTAGATGGCATCCACAGAAGAACTCAAAAGTAAAACCCAGATGACCCCTGTGGACCTCTTCCTTAAAACTGCCCTTGCCCCAGAGGAGCAGGAACATGGCCAGCATCACACCTACATTTAACGGAGTCTCCTGAGCAATCTGGTAACTGCTGGCTGCAAAACTGGCATCCGTACAGGCAAATTAACGGAAACTGTAACAAAGACAATAACTACTGCACTTACTGATTCTGGAGAAAGAGTAATCGACAGATTTACACGGACAAGGGAAATCCATTGATACCGACTCCAAGAGGCAGCTGGGAGTTACTCAACAAAGACTCATAAGGAAGCCAAGCTGTCTTGAAACATGAAATAAAGTCCTCACATGCATAAAAAGCTGGTAAGAAAAAAAGAAATGGACAAGACACAGAGATCCCACCCGAATCTGTACTGGGACCTACAGTGTTCAACAAATTCAAAACAATCTGTAACAGTAACTCAAGAGCGAGGACGTGAAATCTGCTAAAACTAAGCCATCTGTCAGTATGAGCATAAGGCCTGGTTGCAAGGAACTCTGGAGAAACTTCACTACTCCGTGACTGAAAGCAGATGAACTTCAGTGAAGAAAAGTGCAGGATAGTGCAGGCGGGAAAACCACCACCAACTTCACATAAACAACGATAGTTCCAGCAAGTGCTACAAAGAAAACTCACCTCAACATTCAGTAACGGCAAAAAAGCAGAGATAGGAAAGGAATAGAGAACAAAGCAAGATAAAAAAATATGAGAAGCAACTGAACAAACTTCAAGAGTTTCCAAAGATTGGTGAGGGAGGCATGACAGAGGAACACAAAATCACATGCGGAACAGAGAACATGAGTATGCAACACTGGTTACCTGCCTCTTCCAGACAAAGGTTTTGGAACCATCAGCTAAAACGAGCAACAGACAGGTTCAAAACAGAGACGCTTCTCAGCCAGTCAAGCTGATGGTACTATCACTTGTTTAGTTACTTGAAAAAAGTGCTCCACCTGCTTTCACAGAAATTCTTTGCACAGCATGCTACTGGCATACTTGGGGCAAAAAATCAACAACTTTTTGGGAGAAGTGGTGAAGACAGAATTTATCCAAACATATGGTCCTGTTTCTTCACTAAAATACTAATAAAAGTAGCAGACACCTGAAGCATAAGTTCACACGGGTAGAAAAGACAGAATTTAATAAAACAGTAAAGCCAACGCATACAGAAGTCTCTTGCTAATAAAGTAGGGTATTTATGCACTGTTTGCTACTATGCTCCATTGATTACACGGCTAATTCAGATCGCTATCCTTGCGCTTCCGCTTCACACACGTCATCCATCAAGGGTAGATTAGAGCAGCTTACAGGTACAACCTCCACACTGTGTGAAGGTAGACTGCACAAGTTGCTATTAGGGGACAGGATGTGGTAGAATGGTTTTGCAGAAAGGGCAGTAAGAAAAAAATGGAATGAAGCTCTCAGTGGTGACTCTCAGACTTTGAAAGGACACAGTACGCCAAGCCAGAGCAGTAACAGCAAGTGTTTTGTGCAGCTACTTGTTTAACAGCAGGAGTGAAACCCAAAGACTGAGGAAAACAACAACACACAGATAACCAATTTTCTTCTTAAACCATAAGAAACTTTGCCTCAGTTTTATCAGCCCTCGGTTCTGGCTTTTTCCAATCATTTAGTCATTAAAAGGTTGTGTTGAACTTTAGCCTCTCAAAAAAGAGCTAAGTAAATTATTGACAAAGAAACATCGTACCTGAAAATGGTAGCTGGACTATGGTAGCCTAAACAGTCCTGAAGAAGCTTAAAAACGAGTTGGTAAGAGAAGTTTTAATTCATATTTTAAAAATACCAAACAAGGACACTTCAAGAGAAATAAACACAACTGGAAAACAGATACGGAAATCACATTTCTTCTTCCATGTTTAAGGCAGTTTTCAAGCAGTAGCTTGATAAAGCTTTTGCCCAGCAGTTCTCACGCTGCCACCGAGCACTCCTTTGCTACAATTTCACTACACAGCCGACACAACTGGGTGCCTTGTCTGCCATCTGTCCCCTCCGCAAACGCTCGGCGCTCTGCTCCAAACCAGCCACACCATCTGCAACTAACACACTGCCAGAACGACGGCACGCACACACCATGCACGCTCAGAGTCGGCGGCTTCTCTTTATCTGGCAACAAGCAAAGCCGAGTATTGCCAGTGAAACTCCAGAAAAACACCGCAGCGCCGTCGGGACCGCGCGGCCTC